ACCAGCATAATTTATCTTATTGTATCCATATGATTGTATTGTCATTCATTTTGAATACAAGATTTGAAATGTTTATGCTTGGTCTCCTAAGATATTTTTTGAATCTTGAAATTTATCAATCTTCTATTTGTATCTTCATTCTCAAATATATATATATATATATATATATATATGAACGGTTGGTTGATATATGCGAGGGGCATAGGGATAGTTTACATCATCTTGTTACTATCTCTAACAAGTAGCCGGGGATTATTTTCTTAAGTACAATGGCTCATCTGAATTTAGAAGCGTGGTTAAAATTAGGCTAAAATGTCATGGTAACCTTAAAAATAATAAATAAATAATCACAAAAAAAAAAAAAAAAAAAATGTAAGAGATGTACTTTAATCGATAATCTTGACAATTCACAAGAAACTGGAGTCCAAGATTCTATCAAAAAATCTCTATTTTTGTTCTTCTCAATTTTAAATTTAGATATAAATTTGGAATTGAATATTCTACCAAAGCATCTCTATTTTTGTTCTTCTCAATTTTAAATTTAGATATAAATTTTTGTTTGTCCATTTAAATTATTTTATTTATTTTACATAAAGATTGGGTCAAATTTAGATATCCAAAAAAAAAATTTAGATATCCATTTTGACAAAAGATTGGGTCAAATTGCAATAAATCCTCTTGAAATAATTTTTTTTTTTTGGATAAAATGCAAAAAAACCCCTTGAACTATTAGTAAACCTACAAAAAAAATCCCTAAACTACCAAAATTGCAGAAAAATCTCCTAAATCATACAAATTTGTTGCAGATCACCCTATCCGGCTACCGGCGGGTTAAATATTACTGTTCATGACCGACAATTTAAAATTAAAAGACCATAATGACCTTATGAACATTAAAAGACAACAATGCCCTTAATTTTTTCCTTATACCCATATAACTTAATAACTCTTATATTTACACCCAAACACTACCTAGCCTTCACCCCAAACCCTCCCCGACCATGATTGTATCCAGCATGAAAAGGAACATTGGTGGTTGCGTCGGAGAAGGAGAGGAGTTGGGGCTATTGGAGTTCAAGAAGAGGATATATACATGAGTGTATATATGTGTGAAGTGGCGATGGTAGTTGCGGAAATGGGGTGGTGGCAATGGGTTTGTTGGGGTTGTGGCAGTGAATTTGTGAGGCCTGATTGTGTTTGGTGGTGTGTGATTTAGCATGAATTGTTTGGGTTTCTAAGATGATTGAGAGAAGATTGTGGTTTGTGAAGGATCGGTGATGGTGGTGGTGGATTGGATTTTGTGGATCAATTGGGTTTCACAATGTGTGGTTTAACATCAAATCATCAATTATTTGAGTTTCTATTATATTGGGTTGGGTGTAGTTGTAGGTTGGTGGTAGTGGTTTTGTGGGGTAGCGGTGATGGTGGTGGCAGGGGTTGGTTTTGTGTTTCAATTGGGTTTCACAATGTGAGTTTGTGGAGTTCATTTGGGTTTGATAGGGTGTGATTTAGCTTGAATTGTTAGAGTTTCAAACGATTAAGATAACATGGGTGAGGTATCGGTAATGGTGGTAGCTTGGATTTGACAATATGTGGTTTAGCATGAATTATTTGAATTTCTATATGTTTGGGTGTGATTGTGAATGGTGGCAGTGGGGTTGTGCATAAATTATTTGAATTTCTATACGTTTGGGTGTGGTTGTTAGTGGTTGCAGTATGGTTATGGGTGGTGGCAGTAGGTTTCTGTGATTCCGTTGTGAATTGGTGTAATGAATTCCACGAATCAAATCCATAACACGTTTTCAAGCCATGAGATCTTCATTTGAGACGCATTGCTCTGCTTGCTCCGACGGCGATAATTGCCCTTTGTACATCTCTTCTAAAAACTCTCACTCAGTCTCTTTCTCGCTCACTATATATATATATATATACACACACACACACACACACACACCACCAAGAATTCTGCTTCCCTCTTATTGGCAGTCTCTCGTGTGTGTATAGATATTGCTATATATATATATATATATATATATATATATATATATATATACTTATATTCATTTTATTTTATTAAGGGTTCTTTTGTAAATTTCTTACTTTTTCTGGTGTGTTGTCTCTCTTCTATTGGTTGGTGAGATTTTTCTGCCACGTCAACAACTTTAAGTTGATTTTATTTGAAACTACGTTGTTTTATAGTAAGGGCAAAATTGTCTTTTATCTTTTTCAGTGACCTGATGGGATAAATTGTAACAAAATAATAGTTTAGGGGGTTTCTTGCAATACCTCAATAGTTCAGGGTTTTTTTGCATTTTACCTATTTCTTTCTCTTCTTCTTCTGCTCCTCTTCTTCCTTCTCCTTCTTCTTCTCCTATTGGTTGGTGAGATTTTTCTGCCACGTCAACATTAAGTTGATATTATTTGAAACTACGTTGTTTTATAGTAAGGGCAAAACTGTTTTTTATCCTTTCCAGTGACCTGATGGGATAAATTGTAACAAAATTATAGTTCAAGAGTTTTCTTGCAATACCTCAATAGTTCTGGGTTTTTTGCATTTTACCTCTGCCTTCTTCCTCTTCTTCCTCTTCCTCTTCTTCTTCCCTTTTTCTTTTTTTCAAAAAGCTTACTATTTTGCTAATCTCTCTTCCCCCAATTCTTGGCGGATGGCAGAGGACTTCTTCTCCCTCCTCTCCAATTTTCATAACATTGTTGGGTTACCTAAAACAAAAGAAAATGATGAAGAAACTGGGCGTACTATATCTTGAAGATACCGCTTGGAGAAGACTGGTTCAGGGCATCAACTAATTAGGTTAAGGTCTTATTTTGTTTAATTGAGTTCGAAATTTTCATAAACTAGATCTCGACTAAATTGCTTTCTTGCACTGATTTGCTTTTATTAGCGTCTTACAAGTCTGGGGCATGAACTCTAATTTGAAATGGAAAATTTTTTTTGAACCTTTGCTTCTTCCAGTTCCAGGGGTTTGATAAAAGTTATATACTTTGAGAATTAGATGTTTGAAAATTCATTTAATGAGGAACTATCATCCTCTGAAAATTGAGTTGAGAAAAATGTTTTAATTTTTACAAAACTGAAAATTGTAGTTATTTGGAATTGAAAATTCAGTCAAAATTATTTTTTTGCTAAACACTATCCTCTGAAGATTGAGATGAGAAAGGCCTTAAACTAATCAGTAATGAAATTGAGTTGAAAAAAAAAAAAAATTTAATTTTTATAAAACCGAAAATTGTAGTTACATGAAACTTTTGTTTATAGAGAGCTAAAACTGATTTCGAGGACAAATTATTTATTATTTTTTTTATTTTTTTTCACGCAAGGAAAGATATGGAGATACAACAAATGTAAAATAATAATATATTATATTATATATACAAAAATAATAATTTTTGCTTATTTTATTCATATAGTTAGGAATGAAGTCACCAATTTGGAACTTACAACTAGATAGCTTGTTATTTTTTGTTTTCTAAAATTTTATATTATTTTTCTAACTAACTAACGCATAATATATTTTAAATTGTATTGAATCCCAATCTTCGAGGAAAAAAAAAAAAAAAAAAATACCAAAACCACCTAGTTCTATCTCAACCTAGTCTAAAACGTTTCCAACCAAAAAATAAATAAAACATTCAAATTTTAGAACACTTGTAGCAATGATGGACACGTGTCCGAGTTTCCTATACCGCCACCACGACATCCATAGATGAACTATCTGTGATTCCTAGATCCACATAGAGGGTTGTTGGCTCCAATTATCTTTTTCTACAAGCTTTGAAAATTCCTTTTTCCAGTATTTAAAAAAAAAAGACAATGTCTTGTCAATTTTAGATTTTAATGTGCAGATCGACAAACACAAAATTTAAAAGTCATCCATTTGGACAACAGATTGGAGGACCGAAATCATCATTTTGGTCTTAACAGGATTCAAATCCAACAGTTGGAAAACTCTTGAAGCTGGCTATTGAGTGATCATCTTTTCCATGGCTTGTTTACGTAAAAAAAAATTAGCCATCTTTTGTAGTTGTTTTCTCACCACGAATTGAACCATAGTCCATTTTCCTAGCCATTTCTTAATCCTCTAGCACAAAAGTCAGCCCTTAGTAAGAGAATTTATCTCATTCAAATTCCACATCCAAGTGATCTCACTGTCATTCTGAAAATGCATAAGCATTCTCAATGGGAGTTCACACTCTCATCCGTTATTAAGTGTGTGGTCTCCTGCTCTCTATCCAATTGATTAGAACGCAGGCTCTAGTCTGATCTAATAATGGAGGAGAACATGAGCTCACGTGAGTGTGCCCTCATTATATTTTTGTCTCTTTCAATTTGTGATGTAAGTTGAAGCCTTGCTGAATTAATTCTTAGCATGTAGAGTTCTGATAAGCTATTACACACTTGTCAAAGTCTTCAGGTTTCCAGACATGGATGAGTTACAACATTAGCCGTACATTTCTGAAAAATAACAAGTACACTGCAAAGTTTAAATGTATCGTATACTCTGGTGTGTTTACAGTTTACCTACGAACCAATACACTCTGATCTAAAGCATATGTTTCGTGCAACGACTAGCAATACACCTTAATTGTCTCTCATAAACCTTATTTTTGTTGTTGCAGCATCATTGTTTTGATACCATAAAGCAGCGGTGCTACCACGCTTGCATATCCAAAATTCCTGCAAAAGTGCATGCTCCATTAGAAATACTTTTCCCTTACTTAGGATATGTGAATGTTAAAGAACTAGACATTAGTAATTAATTGCACCTTCTAAGATAGCAGCATCAGTTATAACACAAATTCAGTCGTCACTGAGAGTGTCTAGTTACTATCTCAATCTGCTCACCTGCAAGGAATTCAATTTTCTAAATTATTAAAGGTCCACTTCGATTGGAATGTCTTGTAAATTTTAAACCTAGGATGCTTTCTGTAAATTGGAATAACAAAAATAGAATTAGCATAAATAGATAATTTCATGATTCAACTCACTCACAATTTTTGATTAATTCAAGTTTGATCTTCTTGAGTGCTACTAGAGCATCTTTCATGTTGGTCCTCTCCCGAGGTAATTCTGTAGAGCAATTCAAAGCCAATTTCATGATTGATGTTACACACTGCACTTTTGCAGTGTAGTGCTCTTCCTCTTGCCTTAGCAAGTTGGAATCTACAACATCAATTATTGCATCCGGTAGTGACTGATTTACCCAATCCTTTAGGCTCAGATCTCCAGTAAATAATTCATCAGTGGGTCTTTTTCTTGTAAATGTTTCCATCAACAAAATACCATAACTGTAAACATCACACCTTGTTGATACTAATCCTTCCAATCCATACTCTACATCCAACGTAATAATTAATCAAATGAGTTGACGTGTTGTGATCAAAGTGAAATTTTGAGAAATTAAATTAGAATTTTGTTATGAGAAAAGAATACCAGAACTAAGATTGGAACAAAAATTGAAAGCTAAGAGATTCACCTGGTGCAATATACCCAAATGTGGCTAGAGTCTTGGTTAGTGCAATGCTCTGACCTTGTTCTAAGAACTTTGCGATGCCAAAATCACTCACATGTGCAACCATATCTTCATCTAGTAAGACATTGCTGGGTTTGAGGTCACAATGGACCACAGGCGTTGAGTGACCATGGTGGAGATAGTCCAATGCACACGCCACATCTATCATTATGGCTAATCTTTGCAAGATATCTAAGAAATAGTTGTGTGAATACAACCACTTCTCAAGACTCTCATTAGGCATGTACTCGAGTATCAAAGCCTTGAAATCAAGGTTAGAGCAACTACTAATGACTCTGGTGAGATTCCGGTGACGAACATTACGCAATATTTCGCATTCTGTCTCGAAACTCTTGAAACCAGTTTCTTGTTGCAGATTGAATACCTTTGCAGCCAAAACCATCCCATTGGTTAGTGTGCCTTTGTAAACCGAACCAAAACTCCCCATTCCAAGTAAATTGCTTTCACTAAACCCATCTGTTGCTCGGACAAGTTCATGGTATGTAATTCTATCATGTGTCGGTATCAATTCAGCTTGAATTAGAATTTTATTTTTCCTCCATCGACTTCTTAGGCACAGAAATAAAATTGTTAAGGCAACAAGTATTGATGTGATTGGCAACAAAATATATATCACTCTTTTTTCCTTTGATCTGTGAAGAGAACTATTTTCACATGGCCTGAATTGGAACCAAGGAGCACCACACAATGCTTTATTCGACATAAAAGATTGATTTGTGAAATTTGCAAAAGGTCCTCCTCTCGGAATTTCTCCACTTAGTCTATTGAAAGATACATTGAAATATTTCAGATGCATGAGTTTCTCCAACGACTTGGGAATTGGACCAGATAGGTTGTTTTGGGATAGATCCAAGGATTCTAAGCTTACCATGTCTCCAAATGATTCAGGAATTGATCCTTGTAGCCTATTATTTGCAACGGAAAATCCAATCAAGTCTTGCAAACCACCAATCGTGCTAGGAATATCACCCGTGAGTTGATTCCTTGATAGATCAAGTATTGTTGCTACCTTTAAACTTCCAATCTCTTGGGGTAGATTTCCACTTAAAGAATTATTGGTCAAGTTGAAATGCAAAAGATCTTTGAGGTTCCAAATGGTTTCAGGAATGCTGGAGTTTAATCTGTTGGAGTATATATATAGATATCTTAAGGAAGTAATATTTCCTAAGCATTTAGGTATGGTTCCAAACAATCTATTCTCACTCAAACCTAAAAGACCCAAGTTCACTAAATGGCAGAGCTCCTCTGGAATGGTCCCATCGAATCTGTTTCCGTCAAAATACAGTCGTTGTATCTTGCTCAACCCTTTGATTGTTGTTGGAATAACCCCAGTTAAGTTGTTTCCATATAGAGATAACGTCAGCAGGTTGCTTAAATGACCAATCTCACTAGGAATATTGCCCTTAATTCCACATTTTTGTAAAACAATTCTTTCGAGAGAATCAGAGAAAGCACCAATGGAGACAGGAAGAATTCCGTTTAGAGGATTTTCACCTACTCGCAATACTCTTAAATGTCTGCAATTGGTCAAAGAAGTGAGGAAACTCAATTCTGGAGACGAGGATTCACCAATGAAATTGTTGTCTTCTAGGTTCAAATATTCGAGGTGTTCTAGATTACCAAGTGAGCTGGGAATTGAACCGGTAAACCTATTGGTGGAAAGGTCTAGAAGAGTGAGCTTCGAAGCATTTGAGATAGAATCGGGGATAGTTCCACTGAGGTTATTCCCTCCAAGAGAAAGGTAGTCAAGATTGGGTAGTGTCCGGCCTATACTTGATGGAAGATTGCCTGTAAGGTGATTCTCTGTGAGTCCAATCTCTTTTAGTGTTGATATATTGAACATTGTTGCTGGGATCAGTCCTGTTAAGCTATTCAATTCTAAAAATATGATTTCCAACTCATGAAGGTTGCCAACCTCTTGTGGTATCACACCTGGTAATCCATGTGAAAGAACATTGAAATGTAAGGTTAATTCATGGGAAATGATTAGAGGGGAATTATAAGAACCCACACCTAAACAGAATCAATGAATAAAGAAAGAGCTAAAAAGTAGAAGATGAAGGATAGCGAATATTTGTAGATTATATTAGCATGTACAGAATCAATGAATAAAGAAAGGGTTAAACAGATTGATTTTCTACGAGTTGTTTTAGAGAACTACCCAATACAATTATTTGAAAATAGACATTTTTTAACTAAATTTTGAATAAAAAATTAAAATTCCAAAAAATTGACCGTCAAACAAATTTTTGTGCAAGTTTCCAATTTTCACATAATAGAAAACACTGTTCTAGAAAAAGTAAACAAATAAGTGCATAACAAGGGATAGCAACGGGACGGTTTGTGGCAGGGAACTCCATCCCGTCTAAAATCGCTTATTAAACAGGGCGGAGATGAGTGTTTTTTAAAGTACTTTTATAATTATATTACGAATTTAATGAAAATAAATATTGAAACAAATTTTCATCTATGGTAATAATTTTTTTCCTCTTTCGAGCATAGTAATAAGATTCAACTTCTCAACAGGCCAGTGGCCTAGTGTAACGGGTGGGCGGTTGCCCATTTATCCAAAATGTATAGCTGTTGAGTAGTGCTGCATACATATTACCTACCCATTTATACTCAATCACTTTCCCATCCGGGTCCGATGTGTGACAAATGACCCTTGTTACACCTAGCGATATCAAGCCCTTTCTTTCCAAAGGAAGTCATGGTTCAAATCTTAGTGGAGGCATGTGTGTATGAGTACCAATTAGGAATATAATATTATTGTAGGAACATCAAAATAATACATATAAGTTCTCAAATAAAAATAATATAAAATGATATTTAGTAATTGGAATAGAATAAACTAAGATTTACTTAATATATATCTAATATTATTAAATATATAAATATATATATATATATATATATATATATATATAACTAAAATTATAATTTATCACTATAAACGAGTATGGCGGGGCAACCCATCCCCATCCCATAACTATGCTGATTTTCAATCCTAACCCAATTCCTCCCCAAAAACCATTTAACAACCCCATAATCATTCTAACGAGGCAGGTATTTTGCCTTGCCATCCCTAAGAACAATCCGTTTGGAGAGTAATCAAAGTGGCCTCTTGTGCCTTCCTAACCCAAATATTGAATCCTCACTTGTAGAAATAGTATTTTCCTACAAGACAACTATGCTATCTTCACACAACATAATTTATAAAAATTTTATTTTTTAGAGAGAGAGAGGGAGGGGGGGGGGGGGGGGGGGGGGGGGTTGGTGGGAAGAAATAAACAATCAAGCACACAAACAAGGTGCCCGAGCCATGTCTTTCAAGTTCAAAGTTTGTCGATCATAGGAGCTCTCACTGGAGGGGTTGTGTCTAGTTGGCATGAAGCTGATCGACGAGAATAGCAAAACTCAATTGGGGGAAAAAATGATAAAATAAAAAAATTATAGTGGAACAAAAGTTCAAGACACAACTAGTGAAAGTTGCCCGAGTATATATAGGGGTCATACCTATCAGGTTATTATCTCGAAGATGAATAACTTTCAAAGAAGTAATGTTAAATATGGAAGATGGAATGACACCATTGAGATTAGCACTTAGCATTGATAATCTCTCCAAATTAAGAAGATTACCAATTTCTTGTGGAATTTCACCTGCAAAAGAATTTCAAAATAATACATGTAAGTTCTGAAATAAGAATAATACAAAACGATATTTTGTGTTTCTTAAAGTTCAATTTAATTTGTCTGGATATATATATAAAAATGAAAGGTAGTACGCGTAATAGTACCTTTGAGATTGTTATAGCCAAGTAGTAACGTCTTAAGCAAAGTTGAATTCGGAATCCCTCTAGGAATGGGTCCACTAAATTTGTTAAACGACAGTGACAAAACTTGAAGTTCTGAGCACTGGAATAAACTTGATGGAAGTTGACCATGTAACTGGTTCTGAGATAGATGAAGCCCTTGGAGGTTTGGAAGACGATGACACAAATCCATTGGAAGATTACCAGACATCCCACTGTGCGTAAAGGCAATAATTTGCAGTGACGAGATGTTGAAGATGGTGAGTGGCAAAGAACCTGTAAGCTCGCTATATTGCACATTTAGTATCTCGAGCCTCGACATGTTGGACAAGGAAGGTGGGATGGTGCCTGTAAAACTATTGTTACCAAGATTTAACTCTTTCAGTTCACTTAAGGCACCCAACCATGATGGAAGCTCTCCACTAAATTTGTTAAACCTCAAATCCATGGATTTCAATCGACGCAGATGAACCAACTCATCGGGTAGATGACCACTGAAAGTGTTATTACTAAGGTCGAGGGAAATGAGAAAAGACATGTTACCCATGTGTGGAGGAATCGTACCTTCAAGACCCATGTCAGATATGTTCAAGGATGTCACTCGTAGGTGGCGAGTGCCGCAAGTGACTCCAACCCAGTCGCAGATGGAGGTAGTTGTGGACCAGTTGTTAGCCAAGACACCGTTAGGATCAAAAGTGATATGGGCTTTCAAGACAAGAAGAGAAGATTGGTCACTGATAATGTTGGTTACACTCTTAGCTAAACAAGACAAAAGACAGTGCACAAACAACACTGCATGCAGAAGAGCAAAGCTAGTTTTCTCCATGAGCTAGTGTATGTGATTAATGTGGAATGCCAACTCAGTTTGCAAGACATATAAACAATCAAATCTATATTTATAACATAAATTTTCTGAATATCTTCTTGCTTTGATGCAGTAAAGAAATATTGGATGTCAAGTCAATGGTATATAATTGAGTTCAACATTGGCAAAGTGGTCGATGATGATTACTTGACGTATTAGCCTTCACATTAATTTACTGTGACGTATTAGCCTTCACGTTTTATTTTGTCTTTACTTTTTTTTTTTTATGTATATTAGAATAATGCCACAATTTGGATGGCAAGTTGTAATGACGATCTTTTAAACTAGGAGTACTGTATTTTGAACATAAAAAAATTGTCCCAATACCTCGTTAGTCCAAGACTCCAAGCCCCTAAAAAAATATATAAAAAATAAATAAATGAAAAATTATTCTAAATCTCATTTTTGAAGGTTTGAGAAATTACTATTGGATTGAACTTTTAAGAAAAGTGCTGAGAACAGTCGCTACGTCCCTCAACACTCTCTTTATGATTAATTAAAAAATCAATCTTTTTTTTTTTTTTTTTTTCTTCGTGCGAGCATAAATATGCATGAATTAGTACTAATACTAAATTGTTTTCCAATTATTTTTCATTGTAAATTTCACAACTGGAGAACAAGATGTGTTATGGTTCCCACAGCCAATTCTAACATTCCCAAATTCAGGCCCTTTTTATGTTTCTATTATATTTATCATTCTGTTAAAAAAATTAGCAAAACCTAATTGGGCATGTAATAAGAGTATTTGTATGTGTGAGAAGACACATGTACAACAATTTTCTGTGTTTTGTTCATATATCCTTAGGCCACATATATATATATAAATATTTGTGTATTTAGAGAAAGGGATGGACAAGTCAACAAAATTAATTTTTTTCAAGGTGTCATTTTACCGAGTAATTGAATAAATAAAAATACTTATTTATTTCAGCTTTTTGTTTTTGTTGTTATGCTTATTTGTTCTTCTGCAGGCCTCTCTGTTCTTTTCATTATTGTATATTTTGCTTTGAAAAAGCTCAGCATTATAAAAAAAATACCGTAAACAATAAGAAATGAATGTTGGGATTACAATAGACAAGTGACAACAACTCAAAAGACAGACACACAGACTGAGGTAAACAACAAGTAAAGGCTTAATTAAAAAAGTGAGCGAGTGACCTGTTGGTAGTTGGTCGGTCCAACTCACTGTGATGCATTACTGCCTATGTTGCTTTGATGCAGTAAAGAAAATGTTTTATTTATTTTTTTATGTTTGGTTATGGTAAATATACTACTTATGAAGAAAGAAATATTAAAAGTTAATAAAAATAATTTACTTTTTGACAAATTATTTTACATTCGCTCATTTTTTTAATACGGATTATTTTACATTCTTAACTTTTATTAAATTACCTGAATTGATTTAACATAAGTCATGTATATGCCTTAAATGACATATGTCATTCTATAAAAAATCTAACTTATGATAACTTAGAGGAGTTTTAACTTAGAGAATCCAAGTTTATTTTTTTTAATACACACATCATACACGGCTCATTGAATGGAAGGGGGCCTAACTAATTGAAACTCGCGAGGAGCTGCTTTTATTGACATAACTACCATCTCAGAGATAGTGGAGCTATCATGTTGAACTTGACCTAACCACCATCTCAGTGACTGTGTGCTATCATGCGATTGATGGTCATTAGTCTTTTCCAAATTTGCCAGGAATTATAGTTAATGGTGAAATTATTATTATTATTGGCCACTTATTAATGCCCCTACGATGAAATTAGAATGGTCTGGGTAACTATCAATCCTAATTGAAATTTGAGTCATTGAAGCTAGGCAATTAAGTGAAGTTTTTCAATTACATGGCACATTTGTAACTAGTTTTCAAGTGACTTCAACATTTCAAAACTTCTATGCAAAGGTTTTGACCTTTTCCAAAATTAGATAAATAAAAAATTAGTGATTTACACCCAAAAAAAAAATAAAATTTGTGTACAAAAACAGAATTAAAATAGATTCTTTCATATTTCATCTCACAATTTTTGTTTAATTGAAGTTCGATCTTCTTGAGTGCTACTACTACTAGAGCAATTCAAAGCCAATTCCGTAATGGATGATACAAACTGCACCTTTACAATGTAGTGCTCCGCCTCGCCTCTAGCCTTAGTAAGTTGGAATCTACAACCTAAATTATTGAACGGGGTAGTGTCTCATTTACCCAACCCTTGAGTGCTAGATCTCCAGTAAATAAATCATTAGTGATTTTCTTCTAGTAAATTAATGTTTTCATCAATATAATACCATAATTGTAAATATCACACTCACAAACCTTATACTTCTCTCTGTACAATTTTAAATTTTAATGAGATAAATTTTCCTTTCTTACTTGCACTTGACCTTTCTTCTTTGAGCAAAGAATGTTGTTGTTCTTGTCGACTCACCGGAAAGCATTTCTTTCTTCTTTTAACACAGTCGAACACAAGTTTGATTTCACCTTTGACGCTTCTTTAGTCAGGAAACGGGTCGAATATCTATGTTTCCTTTCCTTTCCTGTTTGGTTTGTAACTATGAAAATAGTTTTTTGAACAATCATTAAGAATTCAGAAAACTGAAAATTGTTTTACTCAGAACATCACAAGCCTATACCAAAACTGCAAGCATGGCCTGCTTGGTTTATTACTCTGAAAACAATCTCTGTGAACAATCCTTGAGAATTCAGAGAACAGAAAACTTTGAAAATATTTTTGAATTTTCTTTTTTTTACAAGCTGTGTAAATCCCTTTTTTTTTTTTTTTTTTTTTTTTGGTAACAATAACTATAAATATAATATAAATATAATAATAAACTTATATCTTGTCAATTTTAAAGTTTAGTGTGTAGATGACAGAAACAAAAATTTAAATGTCGTCCATTTCGACAAAAGATTGGAGGACCTTTTGGTCATATATAACAGGATTCAAATCCAATATCTCGGAAAAGACATTTATGTGGTAGTTTGCCTTGCCCTAGACTTCCAGTAAATACATTTCTCCTGGAACATTGGTGTAAAACTTAGAAAGCTTCTTGTTGAATGATCATCCTTTGCATGGTAGAAGAATTTAGCCATCTTTGGGAGTTGTTTTCTCACCCATGGATTGAGTTAGAGACTTAAGAGTTCATTTTCCTTGCCATTTCTGGATTCTCTAGCTCAAAAGTCAGGCCTAAATAGGAGAATTTATCTCATTAAAATACCACATCCAAGTGATCTCAATGGCATTCTAGAAAAGGATAGGCATTCTCAATGGGAGTTCACGTCCTCAGCCGTTGATTGAACTGTATGGTCTCACGCTCTTGATCTAATGGATGAGAATGCAAGCTCATATCTTATCCAACAGAGGAACACACAAGCTCATGTGAGAATGCTCTCATCATATATATATATTTTTTCCTTCCAATTTGTAATGTAAGTCAAAGCCTTGCTGAATTAATTCTTGGTATGAAGAGTTCTAAAGTTATTACAAACTCAATCAAAGCTTTCAGCTTCACTGACGAGGAGTTACAACATTAGTCATACATTTGTGAAAAAATAACAAGTACACTTTCAAATCCCAAATGGATCACATCCTCTGGTGAGTTTGCAGAGTGATTTAACAATGAACCAATACACACTAATATAAAGCATATTTTCCATGGAATGACTAGAAATACACCTTAGTTGTCTGTCATAAACTCTATTTTTGCGATTGCATTGTAATTCTGATATCATGAAGCAGCGGAGCTACCACGCTGGAATCTCCACCATTCCTGCAAAAATACTCTAATTAGCATGTAAAATGATGAACAATACTTCCCCTTTACTTAGGTTTCAATTTTGCACCTCCTATAGATAGCAGCATCAATTTTTCAAACAAATTCATGACATCCTCATTGAGTGCATCTAATTACTGTCCCAACCTGCTCACCTGTATGGAATTCAATAATCTAAATTACTGAAGGTCCAGTTGGATTGGGATGTCTTTTAAAAATTAAACCAAGGATACTCTCTGTAACTTGGAATAGCAAAAACGTAATTAGTATAGATACATAATTTTATGATTCAACTCACAACTTTTGATTAATTGAAGTTTGATCTTCTTGAGTGCTACTAGAGCATCTTTCATGTTGGTCCTCTCCCGGGGTAATTCTGTTGAGCAATTCATAGCCATTTCCATGATAGATGATACACACTGCACCTTTGCAGTGTAGTGCTCTTCCTGTTGCCTTAGCAAGTTGGAATCTACAACATGAATTATTGCATCAGGTAGTGACTCATTTACCCAATCCTTGAGGCTCAAATCTCTAGCAAATAAATCATCAATGGTTTTCTTCTTGTAAATGTTTCGATCAAGATAATACCATAACTGTAAAAATCACACATTGTTGATATTAATCCTTCCGATTCATTTTTTGCATCCAAAATAATAATTAATTAAATGAGTTGACGTGTTGTGATGAAAATGAAATTTTGAGAAACTAAATTGAAATTTTGTTATGAGAAAAAGAATGCAAGAACTAACATTTGAACATAAATTGAAAACAAAAAGCTTCACCTAGTGCAATATACCCAATTGTGGCTAGAGTTTTGGTTAGTACTTATGCTATCCTCCTCTTCTAAGAACTTTGCCATACCAAAGTCACTCACATGTGCAACCATACCTTCATCTAGGAGGACATTGCTGGGTTTGAGATCATAGTGAACTACAGGTGTTGAGTAGTCATGGTAGAGATATTTCAATGCACACGCGACATCTATCATTATGTATAATCTCTGCAAGATATCCAACAAGTAATTGTGTGAATACAACAACTTCTCAAGACTCCCATTAGGCATATACTTGAGTATGAAGGCCTTGAAATCAAGGTTAGAGCAACTACTAATGACTCTGGTGAGATTTCGGTGACGAATGTTAATCAATATTTTGCTTTCTGTCTCGAAACTCTTGAAACCAGTTTCTTGTTCCAGATTGAATACCTTTGTAGCCAAAACCGTCCCATTTGTTAGTGTGCCTTTGTAAACCGAACCAAAACTCCCCATTCCAAGTAATTGCTTTCACTAAACCCATCTGTTGCTCGGACAAGTTCATGGTATGTAATTCTAACATGTGTCGGTATCAATTCAGCTTGAATTAGAATTTTATTTTTCCTCCATCGACTTCTTAAGCACCGAAATAAAATTGTTAAAGCAACAAGTATTGATGTGATTGGCAATAAAATATATATCACTCTTTTTTCCTTTGATCTGTGAAGAGAACTATTTTCACATGGCCTGAATTGGAACCAAGGAGCACCACACAATGCTTCATTCGACATAAAAGATTGATTTGTGAAATTTGCAAAAGGTCCTCCTCTCGGAATTTCTCCACTTAGTCTATTGAAAGATACATTGAAATATTTAAGATGCATGAGTTTCTCCAACGACTTGGGAATTGGACCAGATAGGTTGTTTTGGGATAGATCCAAGGATTCCAAGCTTACCATGTCTCCAAATGATTCAGGAATTGCTCCTTGTAGCCTATTATTTGCAACGGAAAGTCCAATCAAGTCTTGCAAACCACCAATCGTGCTAGGAATATCACCCGTGAATTGATTCCTTGATAGATCAAGTATTGTTGCTACCTTTAAACTTCCAATCTCTTGGGGTAGATTTCCACTTAAAGAATTATTGGTCAAGTTGAAATGCAAAAGATCTTTGAGGTTCCAAATGGCTTCAGGAATGCTGGAGTTTAATCTGTTGGAGTATATATATAGATATCTTAAGGAAGTAATATTTCCTAAGCATTTAGGTATGGTTCCAAACAATCTATTCTCACTCAAACCTAAAAGACCCAAGTTCACTAAATGGCAGAGCTCCTCTGGAATGGTCCCATCGAATCTGTTTCCGTCAAAATACAGTCGTTGTATCTTGCTCAACCCTTTGATTGTTGTTGGAATAACCCCAGTTAAGTTGTTTCCATATAGAGATAACGTCAGCAGGTTGCTTAAATGACCAATCTCACTAGGAATATCAGTCTTTATTTCTTTGATTTGTGAAGAGAACTATTTTCACATGGCCTGAATTGGAACCAAGGAGCACCACACAATGCTTCATTCGACATAAAAGATTGATTGGTGAAATTTGCAAAAGGTCATCCTCTCCGAATTTCTCCACTTAGTCTATTGAAAGATGCATTGAAATGTTTAAGATGCATGAGTTTCTCCAATGACTTGGGAATTGGACCAGATAGGTTGTCTTGGGATAGATCCAAGGATTCCAAGCTTACCATGTTTCTAAATAATTCAGGAATTGATCCTTGTAGCCTATTATTTGAAACAGAAAGACCAATCAAGTCTCTTGCAAACCACCAATCGTGTTAGGAATATCACCTGTGAATTGATTCCTTGATAGATCAAGTATTGTTGCTACCTTTAAACTTCCAATCTCTTGGGGTAGATTTCCACTTAAAGAATTATTGGTCAAGTTGAAATGTAAAAGATCTTTGAGGTTCCAAATGGTTTCAGGAATGCTGGAGTTTAATCTGTTGGAGTATAAATATATAATATAGGTATGGTTCCGAACAATCTATTCTCACTCAAACCTAAAAGACCCAAGTTCACTAAATGGCAGAGCTCCTCTGGAATGGTCCCATCTAATATGTTTCCGTCAAAATACAGTCATTGTATCTTGCTCAACCCTTTGATTGTTGTTGGAATAACCCCAGTTAAGTTGTTTCCATACAGAGATAACGTTAGTAGGTTACTTAAATTACCAATCTCATTAGGAATATTGCCCTTAATTCCACATTTTTGTAAAACAATTCTTTCGAGAGATTCAGAGAAAGCACCAATGGAGATAGGAAGAATTCCGTGTAGAGGATTTTCACTTACTCGCAATACTTTTAAATTTCTGCAATTGGTGAAAGAAGTGAGGAAACTCAATTCTGGAGACGAGGATTCACCAATGAAATTGTTGTCTTCTAGGTTCAAATATTCGAGGAGTTCTAGATTACCAAGTGAGCTGGGAATTGAACCGGTAAACCTATTGGTGGAAAGGTCTAGAAGAGTGAGCTTAAAAGCATTTGAGATAGAATCGGAGATAGTTCCACTGAGGTTATTCACCCCAAGAGAAAGGTGTAAACTCTAATTAATTTGTGTTAGACTTTAATCACAAATAATCATAAATCCCCAGATCTTAGAACTTCAATTAATTTCGCATTCTTATAATGCATAAATATATATAGTCAGATTTACATACCTCGATTCGTGATATCAAACCTTGTTGAGATGAAATCCAACGTTTAGATCCTTTAACCATGAACTAATCTGTAACTCTGATCAATAGGCAAAGGTAGAAACTGGTTTCTCTCTCTTGGCCTTTTGCAAACATAAAACTTTTACGTGTTGTATCATTAATCGTACATAATTGATGGAGTATATGTACTTTTATAAAGGTAGAGAGAGGACCAGTTTTCCTTTTAGTAACATAATTCTACTTTCCATCAAAGTAAGCAATGAGAAGGAAAACACTTCTCCAATAAGTAATTACCAAAAAGGTAATTATAAGTTGACCAAAATAAATAATATTAATTGATATATATTTACTTACCCACCAAGTAATATGTCACATGTCCAAATCATGTGGGCTACAATTAAATAAATAATCTTACATTCTCTCACTTGGCATATATGATAACTTCTGTAGTGGTTTAGTAAAATAGCCATTAGTGTGCACCATAAATCAGATTAAGGTATTAAGTTAGTCATCATAAATACCATGGTAAACAAACTACCAATGTGAGTCATAGCGGTTGTATGTCACTAAATGACATAGTCCCTTCCATGTACCACAACACTAGTAACCCATTTAACATAGTTTATAAGTGAGAAGCATTAATAAAGGTCTAGTAATAATGTATGTTCTAAGACTATTCCTATTTTTCATCATTTAAAGTAATACATGCATGTACATACATAAATTAACAGGAAATCTCAGAAACACATTTTAATGAGCTCAAAATGTCAAATATATGTAAGCCTTGTTAAGCAATCCATAACAAAAAAATAATAATTAATTTTGATTACATTCAAGACCCATTCTTTCAACATGCCCTATGAATGTCTTGGGTGGTAATCCTTTTGTTAATGGATCTACAACCATAAGTTGTGTGCTTATATTTTCAAAAGACACTCGTTGTTTCTGAACTTCTTCTTTAACAGTAAGATATTTTAGCTCCATATGCTTAACGCCATTGGAATACTTATCGTTTTTAGTAAAGAAGACAGCTACGGTGCTATCACAATAAATTTTTAGTGGTCTGGAAATTGAATCCATAATACCAAATCCCGAAATAAAGTTCCGCAACCACAAACCATGATTTGTAGCCTCAAAGCATTCTACAAATTCAGCCTCCATAATAGATGAAGCAACAATAGACTATTTTATGCTTTTCCATGATATTGCTCCTCCAGCTAAAAGGAACAAATAATCAAAAGTGGATCTTCTATTATCGACACATTCAGCAAAAACTAAGTCTAAGTAACCAATAACCTCTAAATCACCAGTCCTTCTAAATGTGAGCATATAATTCTTTGTTCCTTGTAAGTATCTCATGACTTTCTTTGCAGCTTTTCAGTGACACATTCCTGAATTGCTTTGGTATCTACCTAGTATTCCAACTGCAAAACAAATATCTGGATGAGTGCAAACCTACGCATATATCAAACTTCCCACGATAGATGCATAAGGAATATTTTACATTTTTTTATGTTCTAATTCATTCTTTGGGTATTACATCAAACTAAATTTATCCCCTTTCTGTATTGGAATAATACTAGCTGAACAATGTTCCATACCATATCCCTCTAGAATTCTCTCAATATATGTTTTCTAAGACAAACCTAACAATCTACGTGACCTGTCACGGAATATTTCTATTCCTATCATGTAGGATGCTTCACCTATATCTTTCATCTCAAAATTCTTAGAGAGATAATTTTTAATTTCATGCAATAAACCAAGATCACTACTAGCAAGCAAAAATATCATCAACATATAGAATCAGAATTATAAACTTACTCCCATTAACCTTCTAGTATATACACCGATCAATAGTATTTTCATTAAAACCAAAAGAAGTAATAATATTATTAAACTTAATATACCATTGTCGGGAAGCTTGTTTAAGTCCATATATTGACTTCTTAAGTTTACAGACCATACGTTCTTTACCCTCTAATCTGAAGCCTTCAGGTTAATCCATATAGACTTCTTCTTCTAAACTCCCATTTAGGAAAGCTGTTTTCACATCCATTTGATGTAACTCTAAATCATAATGAGCTACAAACGCCATGATAATTCTAAAGGAATCCTTCTTAGACACAGGAGAGAATGTTTCGTTATAATCAATGCCTCATATCTGAGTGAAGCCCTTGGCTACAAGTCTGGCTTTATATCGTTCAATATTGCCATTAAAGTCACGTTTGGTCTTAAAGACCCATTTACACCCAACTTGTTTAAATCCTTCAGGCAATTCAACGAGTTCCCAAACTTTATTTTGTTCCATTGACTTCAACTCTTCATTCATGGCATTAATCCAATTTGTAGAATTATTGCTATTAATGGCTTGTGAATATGTAACCGGATCCTTACATATCCCTATATCAAAATCAGATTCATATAGATATACCACATAATCATTCGGAATAACAGGTCTCTTTTCTCTTTGAGACCTTCTTAATGTTATTTGATGAGCGCTGAAAAGTATGCATTTAAATCCCTTAAGTTTAGGCATTCTAGGACCTTTATCTATTTTACTTTCCCGTTTTAGACTAATTTCGTGTTATTGTCCTTTTCAGGCACTTATCCCAAAAATAAGTTAATTCAGCCAAATAAGAGCTTAAAAGAAGCTAACTCAAGCTGGATGGAAGAAAGAAGCAAAGTGGAAGTGGATTGAAGCAAAGTGTGGAAAGTCAGCATGTTCGATCGATCTCAAGAATACTTCGATCGATCGAAAGTTCATTGATCTAAACTCTCTAAGATGGATCTAAGCTCTTTTGTCCTTATCCAAAGATCCCATAAAGTTCAATCGATCCACCATTTATCAGATCGATAGAAAAGATTCCATCTTATCCTGTTGTACCACCCCACTAACCACTTTTGTCTCTTTCTCAAAATATATCAAATTTGTCTTTATCCAAAAAAGCACCGCCATGGGAGGATCAATCCAGCCATAGTTTGATAGATCTCAGCCAAGTTCGATCGATCTTAGCATAGGTTCAATCGATCGAACCCTCTCAAGTGTGAATTAAATCTATTTCCAGCTCATTAAAAGTTGTTTCATGGTGCAATCATTGGAGGAGCCCTTGTGTACGAGCCTAGACCATTGGGTGTGACATTTGAGCTACCTATATAAGGATTATGAGCCACTTTTACAAAAGGGGAGGTTCTTAGATACAACATTTGATTTTTTCTTAGAGAGGAAGAAAAGAGAAGAGGAGGCTAGAAACACATTCTTGGGAAGTCTTCCATCTAACTCAAAAAGAAGAGCATTTTTACCATGGAGATAGCCCTTGAGGGTTGGAGGACACCATCCATGAGTGGCTAGACATTCTCTTGGGGCTGGAGTTAGCCCTAAGCATGCCTTCTTTACCTTGATTTATGTATTTTTGAGGAGATTTGTGTTGTAATACATGTTTTGACATTTTTATATACATAGATCTTGTTTATTCAATGATTTATATGGTTTAGTTCTTTTAATTGATCATTTTATTCTATCCAGATGTCTATGTATGCTAGAATAGATATTCATGTGTTTATCTGTAGCTTCTATGTTATTGACGTATGTCTATGTTTGTTGATGCTATAGATCTAGAGATTGTCAAGACATAGTACTTAATATAATGCACTTGTGGTTTATTTGATGGTTTATACTCATTTTTTAATGGATTATGTCTCTCCCTTAGTTTAATTAGTTTAATTTTCATGTCATTAGCTTAAATGTAGTGTAGTTACCTTAGTTGTTAAATGGGAGGACAATCCATGCTTGTTGTTTAATGTTCCATTCTTATGAATACAAGTAGTATATTTCTCTAATCATGTGATGTGTTTGGATTGTGAGCTTAAAAGAAGGATTAATGGCTTAGTTTGATATATTGTGTTATTCATTGTATTGTTTAGACAATATATACTTAATTGGTCATCCATACTTGTTGAAACAACCACACACACTCACTATTGTTGCAATATATGTTTTCCCCCTCATTAATTATGAATTGAGTGTATAGAAAGGTGATGCTTAGTGGTGATCTCTAAGTCCCAAGACCTCTCTCTCTTGTTCTCTCTATCCTTTAATTACTTGTTTTATATTGAGCTTGTTTAGTCGTAATTATAGTTTAATCAACCAAACAATCTACCTTTGATCACTCGACCTACTAACCTTAAGTATTATTTCCATTACTAGTGCACCTCTAATCCCTTGGGACGATCCCTACTCACCCTTGCTACGTTAGTAATAGTGGTAGTAGTGATTTTTATAAATTTAAATTTGACCTAAAAGGCTTTTCTTGAACCGCACATTCATTACATTATTTTGGTGTATAGGAACGGTCACCGTCATTATTCCTTGTAGTTCTTCTAAAACTTCATTGGTGATAGTTTCATTATGGAGTTGTTGATCAGTTAATTGTTTTTCATTGTTATATAGTTCAACAACTGGAGAAACAATTATTTCTTTAGAAGTTGTGGGTAAAGGGATTTATACCCTAACTTCTTGAATGATCACATTCTCATTTCTATCACTCCCACTGATTTCACCATCCTCAATGAATTTGGCATCACCGGTTTCAACAATTCTTGTACTATGTGTAGGATAGTAAAACCTATACCCTTTGGATTTTTCTGGGTAACCAATAAAGTACTCACTTCTAAAATCCAATTTCTTTTCACGTGGATTATAAATCCTAGCTTCTGCTGGGCAACTCTAAACATACAGGTGCCTTAAACTAGGTTTCCTTCCTGTCCACAGTTCAAATGGAGTTTTTGAAACTTCCTTACTAGGAACCCTGTTTAATATCTACATAGCAGTTCTAAGAGTATACATCCATAATGATATGGGTAATGAGAAATTACTTAACATACTCCTAACCATTTCCATAAGAGTACGATTACGCCTTTCAGCTACACCATTTTATTGTGGCGTGCCTGGCATAGTGTATTGAGCACAAATGCCAAGCTTTTCAAGGAATTTAGCAAACAGTCTAAGGCATTGACCCGTTTCATCATACTTTCCATAATATTCACCACCTCTATCTGACCTT